CAAGGAAGTCATGTAATGTACACATATTTTTTTGTATTATCTTGCAGATGAAAGTGAAAAGCGGACATAAGAAGTTAGTTTTTTTCTTTGAGTACAGAACTCTATCCAATTACTGCAGTTATTTATATTTTTTATTACATTAAGTCAATAAACTATATCAGTAAAGATTTATAATTGATCTAATGCATAATATTCCTAATTTATATGATTTATAGTACATCTAATACGCTTGTAATGTTTTAATTACTTTTTAATGTTTTTCAATAGTTGGCAACATTACTGTTTTTGCGTAGCGCAATCTATGCGTAAGGTACTATTTAGCGTATGCGTAGAACACTTGTTAAGAATTTTTGACATCAGAAGGGACCGTAGCTTTATACTAAATTCCTTATGTTACGTTTTTTGGTCATTTATGATCTCTCCGTGTTGAAAATAGCCAATTCTTAGATGTATTGTCATTTTATATACCATATTATTCTTAATTAAAAGTAAAATGGTATATAAGTTAACAATTCGAGCGATATGAAAGCCGTGTGCATGCTTCTTAGTAATTTATATTTTTTATTACATTAAGTCAATAAACTATATCAGTAAAGATTTATAATTGATCTAATGCATAATATTCCTAATTTATATGATTTATAGTACATCTAAGTGATAATTTTAACGAACATTTGAATTGTTATTGAAATTTACGAAAAAGGTATCTTTAATACCTTATATTAAGTAACCTGGTATAGAACAATTCTTAGTATATCAAAATGCAATTTTTATTATAACTTGATGATATTTTTGGTATTTTATTTTTTTATAAGTAGTAAGGCTATTTTAAGCTTATATGCATGACATTCATTTTGAATATTTTAATAATATTAATTGGTGTATTTTGGTGCATTTAATTATGGCGAAGCTCACTAGGGCTATCTGCCTAAGGGGAGGGATGCCTTCATGGAGGACTTTCTAAGGAAAACTGGCTCGTATACACGTTACACATGGGGAAAACCACGGAAACACCCATGCAGCCATCCCGTTCGAGGTTCGAATCATTCGCGTGATTCGAACCTCGAATCGAACTACCAGTGTTTAAATAATATTAATTGATGTGCCGTATTATATATCAGTAGATTGATATGTGTGGTATTATATCAACAGATTAATATGTACGGTATTATATTAATACATTAGTATGTGCGGTTATTTTCCTTTTAAATTAGCTATTCATGTTAATTTTGGCGCTGCTTAAAAAAGATATAGTCGTGTGTGTAACAAGAAAGAGAAATGGTAAGCACACGGACTTGGAAAAGAAGAATACAAGAAATGGAAAAAAAATTTAAATAGAAAAGTAAAGTCTGAAACTTTAATGTTAAAAAAGTAAGTTAAAGAAAATTAATATTCGAGAATATATTAGTTTAAGCGTGTTTTTATATGAGATTTAAAAATGCTTAAATCAACTGAAACCCTGTTAAAATTATAGGTTTAAGTTAGTTATCTTTCGTGGAAGAGAAATTAGGTAAGATGATTTAATTTGAATTAGATCGATTTATAGAACGTTTGATAAAAGGTGGCTGCAAGATTTAGCCTCTAAAATATTTATCTTATATATATATATTCCTCTGCAAAGTTTCTCCATATAAGGTAGAATATTTTACGAGAATGGTTTCAACATCAGCCATGGAAAGATTGCGTTAATATGAAATCTAACTTTTTGCATGGTTCTCAAAGAGCAAACATTTTGATTAATTAAGGATTAATTCTGATTTAATAAGTGAAACGTGGAAAGTCACGTAATTTCATGAATAAAATTTTCAATTTATGAATAAATAGTTAATATTTTCATTAGGTTTAGTAATGTGTACTGTACTAAACGTTTAATAATGTGTACTGTTTTTTCTCAACATGAACAATTAATAACCAAAACAGAAAACATTTGTCTGCAGTTAGCCCTTAAAATCGTTAGAAATATTATGAATTTTTTTCTCTGAAAAGTAGTTTAAGTCAGTAAATTATATTTTCGAGAATTTTTCTTGTAAACATATGGAATTTACTTTTCGTTGTTCTTAGCTCATTAAAGCATTTGAACATTTCGCTAATTAAACTTTTTGCTCTGCAAAAAATCATATAAAATGAAATTTCATAGCTGTAGAATCCTTGTATCACAACAACTGACACAGATTTTATAAAATTCTCTACCGCATGAGAGATTTTATAATTGAAAGTACATATATATAATTAATGTTTAAAGAAATAAGATCTTTAGCCAACTTTCGCAAATTCCAATTACAACATCTTATGTAGCGATGGGGTTGTGCATTCAAATAAAAACTTTCTAAAAATAGCTTTAATCCATTTAAATAAAGTGTATAATGTTTCTGTGGCTTCTCATTTCTTTCATCAGACCATCCTTAACTTATTTGTTACCATGAATACACCAGTAATAACCTTTTGGTTAAGAAAGTATTATATTTTATGACCTTACATTAATAATAACTAAAGCAAATTTACAACTTTTTCTTTCCCTGAGATAAAACCATTACCATAAAGAAATTTCTGGGTTTTTCATAATCTAAGACAGCATAATTTGGCTGTTTTTATTCAATGTACAAATAGAAAAATCAAGTCTAGTTTTGCAATAAAACTTCATAGATTTAATAATTTAGAAAGACTAAAAATAACTTTCAATTTTTTATGTAGAATCTCATTCTCTCGCGTTCTTTGCTATATTCCATTAACCTAATTTATTTTTCGTTAATAAATATTTTTTAATTAAATAGTTTTTCTTCTATTGTTTATGCCTACTGGCTAGACCATTTTGTGAAAAACTGAGATATATATTCTCTGCAGGGCACTTAGGGCTATTTGAGAAATTCAATGAAATTTAAGTATTTCTACAAAATATAAATTTACTAATATTATTTTTCAAGATCAGTGTAGTAGAAGAGTGAATATGGATTTATTAAATTACTGCAGAGCACACTAAGGCTATCTGCTTAAGGGGGAGGATGCTTTCATGGAGGATTTTATTAGGGAAACTGATTCATATTTATATTAAGTATGAGGTAAATGGAGGCAGAAGGAAATGTGGATACACATGATATCATGACAACATTTTTATAGCATTTTAATGTGTTCTCTAAGGCATGTACACACTCTTAACACTCTCATAACAATACAGATTTCTTGAATGCATTGGAACTCAAGCACTTTAAAACTCTTAAGATCTTCGAATATGTGACTGTTGTAAGAATTGAGATATTTTATTTATTTAGAAAATGTTTTATAGCTGACTACATAATATAGCTGCTTTGGGAACTAGTAACCAGGAAGTTTGTGTTGCCACAAATATTTTTATAATTTAATCTGCTTTGTGACAAAATGTTTTATGCGTTCATGTCATGTTTCCAACTTACACGCACGATATTCTAAAAATGGGTACTTGTAATTTTATGGAATTCTATATATGGGCACTATCTTCTAACTGAATGAAAAATCTGATGAATATTTTAATATTAAAAAAATTATGCACGAAAACATTACAGATTTTTTAAAAAAAAATACATTTTATAAACTCAGCTCCAAATAAAATAAAAATTTAACATGAAATTCTTAGGATTTTGGGTTCACAGTAGTTTCCAAATGTTATAAAAGCTATATATTAAATATAGAATTAAATTATGCAACAGAATGTTTTAAACTGTGCGCGCAGGTTGGAAATGACGTGAACGCATAAAACATTTTTGTCACAAAGCAGATTAAATTATAAAAATATTTGTGGCAACACAAACTTTCTGGTTACTAGTTCAAAAAGCAGATATAGTATATAATCAGCTGTAAAAAGTTGGAAGTAATTGCTCTTAAAATAATTAAGTTATCTCAAGTCTTGCAACAGTAACTTATTCGAAGATCTTAAAGGTTTTAAAGTGTATGGGTTTCCTTAAGAACTTTGCCTTCTCGTCTCTCGAGTTAAAACCCTTCACTCTGTTTCCTTAATAAATCTAAACCAAGTATATACAAAGTGTGACACACACAAAAAAAAAAAAAAAAAAAAAAAAAAAAAACGAAACTGGTCCAATAAATCGTTCTACTTACAGAATTAATTCTCCGTGACATTATCACCTTCAAAGTAGTTCCCTTCAGCATTCACACATTTCTGCATTCGGTGTTGCCATTGCTGGCAACAGTTGTGGAACGAGGTAAATGGGTTCCCCTGAAGTAAGATTTAACTTTAGGAAATTAAGAAAACTCGCATGGAGCAATATCAGGTGAATAAGAAGGATGCCCCATCACAGTAAAACGTTTGCTGGTCAGAAACTGCTTGACAGATAGGGCCGTGTGAGCGGGTGCATTGTCCTGGTAAACAACCATCCATCACTCCTCAACTGTTGTCTTTTTTTCCCTAATTTTTCACGAAGTCGTTTTAGTACTTCAGTGTAGTAATTCTGATTAACAGTCTGACCACTGGGAACTCTTCAATCATGATGAACGAGGCGCTCAACTCATTCAATCATGATGAACGAGTTGAGCGCCCAAGGGGGCGCCCAGCACGTTCATCATCTTCCACATGGCCCCTTCTCGCTGAAAACCGCTTATGCATTCAAACACACGTGCATGAGACAAAGTTTCATCTTCATAAGCCTCGGTTAACATGTCTCCTCCATGGCTGATTTCTTAAGTTTCACAGGAAACTTGATGTTGATTTGCTGTTCGGTTTTTAATTAGCCATTTTCCCGGCAGATGCAGTTACACGTGTTCACTCAATGACGCAGTACTCCCAACTGGCGTGGTCGGTTAAGTCGAAACTAGCCGCATGGATAGAGGAGCTGTGTGGCATGACGTCCGTTGCCAACTCCACTCTATTTTCAAGCTACACATTTAGTCTCTTTTTTTTTTTTTTTTTTTTTTTTTTGTCACCCCTCGTACGTTTGCTCTAATGGCTTCTCTCTGTTGGGGATGGTATGAGATATTATTGGAAAATTTTGGATTTCAGCTTAAAAAATGTATACCTCTTTTCCGTTTATATACCATTTGAGAGCTGCTGCTGGTTTGGAGGGTCCAGATCTGCAAGTAACATTGACGTAGTCTCCCACTTCGTATCTGGGTTGGCTGCCCAGAATAGACGGGTCTTTCTGAGGAAGAACTGTGGAAAATACAAGAACGTGCATGTTAAGAATCAGTCGCTGCAAGTAAAGGATGTCATTAATAATAAGCAAAATCATACAACAAACTTTTGAAACAGTTTTAAACACTTTTGCTTCCTCCTTTTGCAACAAATAGAACTAGTAACAGTTACGAATGTGAAATTTGGCAGAAATGCATTTCTAACCACTTCGTTTTATGCAATATATATCAGGTATACTAGTGGTCGCTAAACTTATGAAGGTTCTGAGTTATTACCATTTTTAAATCCTACTGTGAGCTACCCAAAAGAACTACCAACTTCTTTTTAAAAAATCTTATATTTGTTTATTTCTAATGAATTAGAAATCAATTTTAATTAAACTGTATGTAACAAAAAAGAAATTGAAATTGAATTGTAAATAAGAAACAAATTGAAGTGTAGTCAGTAATAAATAACAAATGTAATAACAAACTTTTTTAAATCAGACTGATTAACATTAATGAGGAAGATAGCTCTTTTTTGTCATCAAAAAGTTGGGAGATACTAGCTGCAATTCGAATACAATTGTTCAAGTGTTCAGAGGAGCAAGCGTATAGGAGCTATAGGGCCCACAAAGTATCAGAAAAGTATTGGAAACATGACACCAAGTTGCTAAAATGCTCGTTTCACGTATTTATATGAACTAATAATATGGTAAGATAGTGGGGATCTCAATGTAAAGGAAGAAACAACTCTTTGAAAAGAGACATTATATTCTGGGATGTCGAAAATAGGACTTTTTATTAACTTTAAACAAAATTTATTACAAGAGACATTCAATGTGCAATTCATCAAACAAACAATGAGACGTGCAGAAAGACAGTTCACAATGGGCTACATAATATAGTTCACAATGGTTCACTACATAATATAGCTGCTTTGGGAACTAGTAACCAGGAAGTTTGTGTTGCCAAATATTTTTATAATTTAATCTCTTTGGGACAAAATGTTTTATGAGTTCATGTCATGTTTCTAACTTACACGCACGATATTCTAAAAATGGGTACTTGTAATTTTATGGAATTCTTTATATGGGCACTATCTTCTAACTGAATAAAAATGAGAATATTTTAATATTAAAAATTTTATGCACGAAACTTACAGATTTTTTAATAAATACATTTTATACGTCAGCTCCAAATAAATAAAAATTAAATGAAATCTTAGGAGTTGGGGTTAAAAGTAGTTTCCAAATTTATAAAAGCTATATATTAAGTATGAATTAAATTATGCAACAGAATGTTTTAAACTATGCGCGCAGGGTGGAAACATGACATGAACGCATAAAACATTTTTGTCACAAAGCAGATTAAATTATAAAAGTATTTGTGGCAACACAAACTTTCTGGTTACTAGTTCAAAAAGCAGATATAGTATATATAATCAGCTGTAAAAAGTTGGAAGTAATTGCTTTTAAAATAAATAAGTTATCCCAATTCTTGCAACTGTAATAATATATTCGAAGATTTTTAAAGTGTATGTGTTTCCTTAAGAACTTTGCCTTCTCGTCTCTCGAGTTAAAACCCTTCACTCTGTTTCCTTAATAAATACAAACCAAGTAGACACAAAAAACGAAACTTGTCCAATAAAATCTTTGAACTTACAGAATTAATTCTCCGTGACATTATCACCTTAAAAAAGTTTCCTTCAACATTCACATTTTCATTCAGCTTTCAGCATTTTACAAAAGCGATAGCCTCACATTTTGCACACTCATTATTTGTCAATGACTCCGAAGCAGTTATCCATTGGCGCAATCCACATTCCAGATTCGTCGTCCAAGTACGTGCCCTTATAAAAAGCATATCTAATCAAGTTCTTAAAACAAGGAGCGCTGGATTGATATAGTGAAAAGGACTGCAGGGGCAGAAAATTATCGCGATGCCAAATGTGCTCCTGTGTTTCGATAATGATTGTAACAAACAAATCATTTGTAGTGTCTGAAAAAATGAATATCCAGAGGCTAGATCTTTCCCGTAAATCCTTCAGATACCAGTTCTTTTTGTAGGACTTTACCATCAGGTACTTCGGAAGCAGGCAAAGCATGAACATACAAGAAATAAAGATGCCATTAAGGAAATATGTCCATCTATACACACTCCATTGATACTTTATGGTTTCTATAATTCTTAACCCTGAACTTCCCACTGTTGCATTTCTGCAACATATGATTTATTTAAATTTAACAGACTCAATATTTTTTTTAATTACCTACAAATCACTTATCTGAGAAAAAAAGATTACTGCAACGAAATGCATGCTAATTTTGTCACTAGATAGCAGCACATCTTTTCCAGAAATCAAAACAATTGTAAAAATCTCTGTTGCCTCAAGAACTGTGTTTTTGCTATAAAAAGAAACCATTATATTTTATGCTTCCTCTTGTTTATTGACGAAAAAAAAATTACCAGGTAAGAAATTTAAAACATTTTATGTTCATTTAAAAGTAATTTTGATTTTCTAATGGAAAAAGTTTGAAAGAAATTTGATTTTAATTTATGTTGCAGGTCTGCAACATTGGTCTTTGGTTACCATTTTGACATGGCCAAAACGCGTATACTAACCCAAGATGAAATTGCTAGATATATGAATAATTTGGACATGAATTAAGTGATTTAAGTGAGGATGGTCTTGAATATTCTGCTGATGATGTTCATTTTTTACCTGATTGTGTGTCATCTAATGATGAGATTCGGATAGCGACTGTGCAAATAGTGTTGTTCATCACAAAATACAATTCAGAATATAAAAAAATCCGATGATGATGATAATAAATTTGATAGAAATATTTCAGTCAGTGTGTGTGTGTGATTATGGCAAAGCCTCGAGAGCTATCTGCCTACGGGGAGGGATGTCTTCGTGGAGGATTTTCTAAGGGAAACTGGCTTGTATACAAGTTACACACGGGAAAAACGACCATGCAGCCAGCCCCGTTCGCGGGATTCGAACCTCGGACCGAACTACCAGTGTTCAGCGACTTTACCGCTCGGCCGCTGGTATATTTCAGTCAGAGAACCTTTTTTAAATTTAACTGTTAAGAATAATAAAACATTGTCAAAGAATATTTTATGGAAAAATCAAAACATTTCATTGATTGAAGAAGTAATAAAATTCCATGGAGATGACACGCTCCCAAGAGAAATTACGGATTTGGACACTACGTACCAATTTTTTAAATATTTATGGACGGAAGAGATCATAAGTAACATTTATGAAGACAGCAAACGATATGCTATTCAAAAGAATCCAAGTAAGCCTTTGACTATATCAGAGAATGAAATAAATCAATATTTGGGTATTTGCATTTATGCATCTCTAGTTCACCTGCCAAACTATAGAGCATACTGGTCAGAAGAGCTTGGATTTGATCGAATTAAAGAAACAATGAAGAAATCTGAAAATTAAAAAAAAATCTAATGAATTTACAAAAATTCAAATCTGAAGTTGCATCATGCTTATGCAAAATGGGGTACGATCGAAATGCTAAAAGAGGAAGACCTAGTAATACTTCAATAGAACAAATGTCTCAGACTAAAAGATGCAAGGGACGCCCAATCCGTTCCATGTAGGACATTTGTAGAGATGGTATAAATCATTGACCAATATGATCAGAAAAGAATACGGTGCAAGTTTCCAAACTGCAAGAGCTACGCTCAAACTGAGTGCGAAAAGTGTAAAGTAGGGTACTTTTTACAACAAAGTCAATAACTGCTTTAAAAATTTTCATTGTCAATGAATAATAAAATCCTCATATAAAAAAAGTTTTATAATTTTACAGCACTACTGCGCAATGTTGCACTTCTGCAACAAACAAAAAAAAAAAAAAAAAAAAAAATGACTGAAATTCAATTAAACTGCTTAATTTTAAAAAAATATTTTTCCCTTTTATTATTACTTAAGAGGTAGCTGATATAATTTTTTCATAGAAATTTAAAAAATTGGGAAGTTAAGGGTTAGACGCTTGTCTCTCTGCCTCTAAAGACTTTAAAGTTTCTTTACTTGTGATACAAGCTTTCCGAAAATATATAGGTTTCCGAAAAACCGGTATCAAAGGAGAGAGGGGTTTACTTGTCAGTGGAGGAATCAAAGTTAGGCACCCGAAAATGTCTCCGAACCGAAGGTAGTTATCCGAAGATAACCGTGCAATCTACTGAAGATGTCTCCGCGAGCTACTAGTAGCTCTCGATCGACGGTTTGGATATCACTGAGCTATACCATAATTCTATCAAAATTCAGTTGCTGAATTTTACACGACTTTTGGACAGTATTTAGGAGTTAATTCTCTCATCTGTGATTTTAAAAGAAATTTGGTTTTAATATATCAAAATTCTTGCATTATTTTTTATATTCACTGATAGCGTTCATTTAAAGATGAGAAAGACAATCATCAACCGTGTAAAACATGTCATATGAGCCTCAGCAGAAGACAAACAAATATAAATATAAAATAGTAATTGAAAACAAACTTGCCATCCAAAAATGGTCAAACACCTCGATAAGAAGTTATGATCAAAGTTTTTCAAAGCAAAACACATAATAAAAATTTTAAGTACATAAAATCATACACTTAATTTGATTTCTTTCTCAGATAAAAATAATGTTGACTGCTGGTGATTCACAAATATACTTGATTGTTGAACAAAAGTAAAACTCAGTTATTACTAGTTATTAAACTCAATGATTAAATATTTAATTTAATCTCAGGATTTTTTTTTTTTTTTTGCATTTAAGTTTTCTAAGTAACATAATATGCAATAAAAAATCGGACTACCGGAAAAAAATCGTTAGATTAAAGAAAGAAATTTAATACAGGATGCTATCTGTACGCTCCTATAACATTTCATCATCGCCATTTAGATTATTAGATACAGGCTAATAGTGTGTAGGAAAAAAAAAAAAAAAAAAAAAAAAAAAAAAACAGAAATTTTAAAATAAACATATAGTGTTGAGTTTCTACGGGGCTTCTGGATTTGGAGTGATTGACGCTAGCACTTGATGAAAAAGCAAAGCACAATTTAT